AAGAGTTCTAGCTCCGTCTATACGTTCAGTAATCTAATATATTTATAAGTATATTAATATAAATATAAAATAATCAATTTGGACTATAAATTTGTGATACCTTTAATGGTACATTAGACTTTTCAAGTTTCATCCACATRATCGCTAGTGCTCTTTCCACCTGTGTTGGTGTATGCCAATCGGCCATAGTATTCACCTATAAAGATGAGATATTTGAAATATAAATTAGATATACCTAAACTTGATGTGCAGTGGCTACTGGTGATAGTCTAGTAGGTATGTCTGGAGTATATTGAATTGAATAGTTTATGAACAGAATGTTACAATGCACACCTGCAGCGATGTAATAATAATTTGATGTATTTTGATATTTCTTTGCCATAGTTACAATACATTATAAATATTTAAAAATTTTATGAACAGCTAGGGACGCTAGGGTGTCAGATCATTCAACATGAAAAAAAAATTAAAAATTTCTTTCACACGCACGATCGTGGCCTATGCTACCACCGAATCACTCGGCGACCACGCGACTGCTAGCACCTGCATGTGTGTGCGGCGACAATATTGTAAGTGCAAAACTTGTCGCCTCGGCACATTTTGCTTCACTGTCCTGATCTATCTCAAAATTAAAATATCCCCAACTATTTTACGTAAACATAAAAATAATATTATGTTTGTAATAATTGTCTTAAGTATATACTATACAGCAGCGGTTCTCAACCTTTTTGAGTTTGCGACCCCCTATTGGCCTATTATAATGTCACCAAGATGTCTAACGACACTTTTGTAATGTAAGCATTTATTTGTGTTAACAAAAAATATGTTAAATTACAAAGGAGGCCAGAACTCTGAAATATCTTTTAAAATAGCTTGATCGCATCTTGTTTCCCGAGACGTGTTATCCACATAAATTTAGCCAAAAAATAGGACTCCAAAAAATTCCTATTATATAGTTCCACGCGCTTTTTATTTCCCCACTTTGCAGAATCCCATAACCTCTCGATATTTTGGGAGTGTGCCCCTGTGTACGGATCAACAAAATTATAAGTGTGGTTAACGGTATTATGTATATGAATCCCGCTTGCTGCAAATTATTATAGGCTTTCCAACAATCTGATATAATAATTTTTTATTTAACACTGGCGGGGCGATAAATTTTTTACGGGACACTGGGGGGGGGATAACAAACAAGTACCTAAACATTTTACAAAAAAAGGTTTATTATGTACATAGTACATTTTAATATTTACGATATAATCGATAAAATAATCAAAACATCGCATAATCGATTATCTTATCTGTAACAAGAAATATTAGCCTTCAATAATTATTGTATAAATAAATGGTGCATTTTTATGGTACCGCGAAAAAATAACCCCGGAAATTTAGACCCCGAAAWAAAGAACCCCGAATAAATAACCCAGTGAAAAAATAACCAAAGAAAGAATAACCCCAAATGAGATTTTGTAAATTAATCTAGGTGTTAATATGTAAAAACCTAAATATTGGTGTTAATATGTCATTGCGTGAAAAAAATTAAATAATGTTTTATRTACCTATTACCTACGTACAATTTTTATGTTCCCACAAATAACGTTAATTTTGGATTCAATGATAAATTATTGATTACCTACGATAAAAACGATTCAGAGCACGATGCCAGTCTGTCTGTCATATCGATCAGATATATAATAACAGGGTACAACGTCAATGTGAAATAATATTATAATGGATAAGAAAGGTACCTTTATCTTTAATGTTCTGATAGAAGCGGTAATTTATAAAATTTATCAAGTCCTGTGAGTTCATYTCTCAGTATTTGGTAATACAGACATACAGTGTGCTCTCGTATATTATATATTTCTCTGTGCTTTGTTTTAATTTCTATTYGAATAATAATAATATGGATATACTAGATATTTTTGCAAGCCAGAAGGGCAAAGAAAAGTTGGCATTTAAAAAGTATATGTTTGTTGTACACAAAGAGTGTTTAAATTTTATAAGGTGGAAATGCTGCAAAAAAAATAGTCACAAATGTCCATGTATTTTAAAAACTTCCCTGGATAAAAAACGTTTAATTAAAATTGATCATGAACATCATTGTATTACACATTTATGGTGAATATTTTTTATTTATATATTATTGACATTTCTATTCGTTTTTACCGTAATTAAAAAATTTGACAATTTGTT